GCAGAGGGGCACTGTGTGTGCAGGGCGGCACGAGAGCTTCCTCGCTGGCGGCTTACATGGTCCCCGCTGAATTAATTTGGTTTTGCCTTAAAAGAAAAGAAAACAGGCAGGATAAGTAAGAACATGATGTGACAAAAGACATTTCCAGATGAGAGATGAAACTCCTCCGTGGGTTCTGCCCAGTAACCCCATAACACTTAGTTAAGTGCTTGGGAGGAGATGTTAGCTGCACATTAACTTGCAGTTAGCAGAAATTCACAGCCCCAGGATGAAATGCAGGCAGGGAGCCGTGCTCTGGCCTCGGGTCCGGGCAGGCCCTGGGGTCCCTCTGGTCGTCACCAGCCTTTCCCGGGCAGGGAAAGCCAGAAAGTTCAGCCTCAAATGCTGCAAGCCACAGCATATGGAATCAGAGGAATGTGGGGGGGAAAACATGGCTTTGGATTGCTGTTGCTTTTTAAAAGAGTGCCTTAAAGGTGGCCACGTAAGAGCTAAAAAAGACTTTTGGACGCAGACAGTTTAGATACTACTTACTGCTCAGCTGGAGGGTACAGGTGGAGGGATCCTACGGGCAGGGTGATCTCAGAACTCACCTGCAGACCTAACCCTGGTCCTGAAAGGGAAACTGCTGAGAAATAGAGAGGCAAAATTAACCTGTGCACAGCTAAAGCCAAAGACTGTAACACACGACAAAATTCCTCCTTACGTTTTAACGAAGTGTGGGCACCGGCACAGCCAAGTCTGGAGGCGTCCGGGGAGCCGAGTCCGCGCGCGTCCCGAGCCCCGCGCCGTGCTCCGGCCACGCGGGGCTGCAGCTCTCCAGCACAGACCTGCTGGGCTGCTGCACGAGGGCAACGCGGCTCCTGGAAGCGTGGAAGCTTCCCAATGTCCCCTTAGGAGGTCTTTGGAAATGTGGGCCTGCAGGTGCAGATCTAACGTGCTTTCTAGCCCCTTCTGAAGATACGTGACAGGAGGAGCTGGATGAGGCCCATTTCTTGTGTGGGTTTCGCAGGGTTCTTTCAGGAGAGGCACACGGTGCTCCGGGATGCTTGACGCTGCCAGGGAAGAGAACAGTCCGTCCCGGCGGGCACATGAGCAGCTCATGTCCCAGGCTGCTGCGACTGCCCGTGTGGTGTGACGGGACGCACAGCGTGCACCGCCGCACCGCTGCCCCCTTAGCACGCCGTCCCGCAGCTGACACGGCCCCCGAACGGGTCACCAGGCCATGGCTGCAATGTGCCGGCAGCGCGGGCACCGCGGCCCTGGCACGGGAAGCAGGAGGCCTTCCCGCCCGCTGTGCACGGAAGCGTTTTATCTCTGTCCCCACTGCCTTCTCGGCAGGTCCCTCTGAGCCAGGAGCCAGGGCGGGAGGACAGGGAACAGGGGAGGTGCTGCGGGTCACACTCAGTCATTCACACGGTTTCTTTCTGCAGTTTGTGCTGGCGATGGGAAACTACCTGAACAACGGGCAGCCCAAGACTGGCAAAACAACAGGCTTCAAAATCAACTTTCTCACCGAGGTAGGGAGGTGAAGCACGCTCGTTCTGCCAGGAGCTCCACGGAGCCATCCATGAGGCTTGCCCTCATCCGAGGGAGGGAGGGATCCCGGTGGGAAGGCAGGGATGGCACCATACGAGTGACTCCAGAGGAGCGCTGAACGTCTGGTGCATTCCTAGCATTTACAGCTCACGGTCCGGTGCTGCACTGGCCAGACCTGAAGTTCTGTGGCCATGTGAGGGGAGAAAATGAGAATCTTTACCCACCTGGGTAGTTGGGGAACGTCCTGGCGGGCAAGGGCTGGAAGGGATTCCTGAACGGTGGGAACGGTTACGGTTCCTCGGCCTGGGCACCGTTCAGGAATCCCTTCCAGTCCTTGCCTGCCAGGACGTTCCCTAGCTACCCAGATGGGTAAAGATTCTCATTTGCTCCCCTCACATGGCCACAGAACCTCAGGTCTGGCCAGCGCAGCACCGGACCGTGAGCTGTAAATGCTAGGAATGCGCCAGACCTTCAGTGCTCCTCTGGAGTCACTCGTATGGTGCCATCCCTGCCTTCCCACCGGGATCCCTCCCTCCCTCGGATGAGGGCAAGCCTCATGGATGGCTCCGTGGAGCTCCTGGCAGAACGAGCGTGCTTCACCTCCCTACCTCGGTGAGAAAGTTGATTTTGAAGCCTGTTGTTTTGCCAGTCTTGGGCTGCCCGTTGTTCAGGTAGTTTCCCATCGCCAGCACAAACTGCAGAAAGAAACCGTGTGAATGACTGAGTGTGACCCGCAGCACCTCCCCTGTTCCCTGTCCTCCCGCCCTGGCTCCTGGCTCAGAGGGACCTGCCGAGAAGGCAGTGC